AGAGAGCTCTAATATCTGCCCAATAATGGTTGCATCAATGAAATGCCGAGCACTGAGGAAATGTATATCTTTTCTGACCCTGCATGCCAGCTCCCTCTCTGCTGCAGTGACCCAGCTCTGCCCCGAGGCTCAGAGTAATTCAAGATGTGCCTTCCACAGCTCAAGAATGCAGCTAACATCTAATTTAATCCTGACCTCAGGCCTGACAACTCTTGTACCCACCTGCAGTTTGGCCCTATCTGGAAGACAGAGATCCAAGGATGGAAGACAGAATGCATCCGCGCACACCACAGCAAGATGAAGATCGTCCTTAATCCTCCCAATAAGTAAGGCCTCCAAGAGTTTGTAGAGAATTCCTCTCAAGTTTTAAGTATGCTGTAATTTGAGGGGCAGCAGAGCTCAGGACCAGAAGCCACAAGACCAGGAGCGGGCAGGTTTGAATCATACCATCACTTCCCAGCTGGATGTCCCTGGGAAGTGACATCCTCTGTTGTGCCTCAGCTCCCTCTTCTAGAAAATGGAGGACAACTTGGAGCACTGAGCCTGGCATCCTAAGAGTATCAGAGTGCTGCCTGCCTCAAGTGCACACCCACTCCTCCACCTGCAAGGGCAGGGTGGGATTCCCAGACACCACTGTGTCCCTAGCATTATGACATAACAGCTAGACACCTGGGGGATGTCTGCTCACAGGACAAGTGGGAAAAAAGACCAAAAGAAAATTGAGTTGGGCTCTCAGTGAGGTCATTTGTGTCTAACCTATCCACTTCATGGACAGTTCCAGAAGTGAGGCCTGGATAGGGCAGAGAAAGCGCCTCATCACCTGCTCAGGGGCTCTGGAATCAGCATTTAGCCCCACATCCAGGTGCTCCTCTCCCTCCCTCCCAAGGCTGCCCCACTCACAAAGCCCTGGGAATAGACAGATACCACTAGGATTTAAAAAACAAAAACAAAAACAAAACAGGACTTTATTATTCCGATCACAAAGGGCAGGTCTTCGCAGGACAGGGAAGCAAGTTCTGACGGTGGGAAGGAGCCCCTACTTGCCAGCGATGAGGGGGTTCCGCAGGACCACAATGACGGAGTCTCCACGCAGAAACATCTTGGAGATGTAGCGGTCCTTGTTGACTGGCTTGGACTTCTTCTTGCCCTTGCCACTCTTGGGGACCTCGGTCCACATCTCCTTCACATTCTCCAGCACCATGTTGCAGTGCCTGGTGGGGCAGGGAGTAGGGAAGCAAGAGTAGTTGTTGTTGGTGGGGAATCTTCTAAATACCCTTCCTCTGCCCAGCAGCATGGTATGAAGAAGGGTGCAGGCCCTGGGGCAAGGACAGCTAGGCTTGCTTCATCTCCATGTTTTTAGAGAGGCTTGAACAAAGGACTTTATCCCCCTGTGCCTCAGTTTCCTCTTCTCTAAAATGGAAACAATCATGGTTCCTTTCTCATAGGACTGCTGTGAAGATCAGATGAATAAATATAGCATTTCTGAAAAGCACTCAGAGCACAGCCTGGCACAGAGTAAAGGCAAACACAGCTCCTCATGTGTGGTTAACTAAGTATTTAGGAGGAGCAGCAGAAAAGCACCTTCTTCTGGAGACCTAGAGGCTCCTGGGGTGCTGGGACCTGAGGTGGCACCTGATATTTGTGCTCCAGTCCCCAGTTCAATTACCTAGCCTCACAGTGCTGGGTGGGCATGTGTGATGACAGCAAGGGACTGGTTCATTCAACAAATGCTTTCTAAATGCAGCTGACACATCTTTTGAAACACAACCACCAGGGCAGTGAGTAAAACATGCCTGCCCTTGTGGTGTGCACCGCAGCCAAGAGAAGAGCAAGAAACAAGGGAACAGGGATCTAGAATATACCATCAGGTGGTGATATGAAGAGAAATCAGCAGGGGTATAGCTCAGTGGTGGAGCATCTGCCTAGCACCCTGAATTCAATCCCCAGCACCACCAAAAAAAAAAAAAAAAAAAGATGAGGAGGGTGAGGGAGCTTTGTATGAGAGGTACTGTGAGGTGAAATTGGCAGGGAAAGTTGGACACA